CTCTCGGTGCCGGCTTGGCTTAAAAGTTGAGCCTACCCTAGACTAAGGCCGCTCCGCCGCCCATGCTGGTAGGAAATAACTGAGAAAAACTGTCTTATAAAACTTGGTAGACAGTTTTCCGACAACAGCTAAAAATTTGTCGCAGACACGACGTCAAAGTTAGGGGCTGGGGACTAGCCTATCCTTAGCTCTTCCACTATCGAGACGTGTGATCAAGGCTTAGAAAAAATAAACGAAGTAAAACGTTCAAGAGAAGAAGAAATGATCAGATATCGCCAACACAGAGGAAGTAGTGCATAAGTTACTGCGATGTTTGATATGTCTTGCTATCTTGAAGAATACTCTTCTATAGGCAGCATAGCTATTTCATCTATCGATTCATGTAGTACTTAAAAGATCTTTTTTCTAATCAACTGTATTAATTGAGTATCAACAAAAATAAAAAGAAGCAAGTAAATATTTTTCTTTTCATTTAATCATTCTTAAGAATTCTTTTTAAAATGATATCATCGATTTTGTCATTCTCAAAGAAAATGTCAATGTTGACTTGATGAGTGTTCCTCCTTTCTATGTTCGAATTCATTGGTTCTAGATAAATATTTTATTTATTGCTATATGCAGATGTCTATAAAGGAGCTACTTGGGTTTCAAGATGTTAATCAATATCTCATTGGACAAAAAATTCAAAATTTCACAAACATAGAAAGAAATGACTCTAATAGCAACACAATTGAGATTTTTTTTTCGACTGTTCTTATCAATGTTATGTGAAATTTTAAAGTAAAGAAAGAACATCGATAACAGTATTCAACTAATTATGACAGCATTCTCGTTGTGCAATAACATTGGATATCTACATTACACATGGTTTGATGAATCATTATTTTAGTTGTTTTTTTTTCCCCAGTTTTCGTATTTCATAATACTCATTCGGTTTTCATACTCATATGTAATAATAGTCAATATACGATTTTTCCAATTTTTATCGTATAAATACTATGTCGTTTTTCAACATTGTGAGCAGCTTTTCTTCGAGTCACAATGAGTGTGACTTTCAAACCACAAAATACGAAGGTTGCTGCGACGAAGCGGATAATAAGGTATAGAAATACATTAATGAATGTTTTTTTTGATTATTCGAATTTGTATATGTGGAATATTTTTAGAGATTTGAAAGATCTCGACAAACTTCCAGTACCCGGACTCGGTGTTACTTGTCCTGATGAATCGAATCCATTTGTTTTACATTGTAACGTATGTATTTAAGTAAATATTTGATCCATATCTGAGAATAATTGATTTATTATTCAGGTATTGATTAATGATGGACCCTATCGTGGAATTATGATCCACTTAATTCTTCATATTCCAGAAGATTACCCATTGACAGGTCCTGCTGGAAATATAGCACCTGGCTTAGAATTCGA